TCCGTCATCTCTAATTATCACAGCAAACCAGTGACACAGGTGTTATTATCTCATTTACAAAGGGGGAGCTAAGGCTCAGAGAAGGTACATTTAGAAAAGGTCACATAGCTATACATAGTAGGGCTGAGGGACAGGATTATCTTTAGGTCCAGGCATGAAGGCCTGCCCTACCTCCATGCTTCAGAGAGCACAACTCTGCCCCCTTTCCATCTCATGGGAGGCAAGTGTGCCTGCCCATCCAGCACACTCCCCATCCAAATACCCCACCACTTTCCAATACCCGGACGGTGGAATTCTCTGCCCAAACAGCCTCAGGCACCCTTCTGGGTCTACATGAACCTCTTGCTGGGTTCCCTCTTCTGTGGTGTGGGCTGTGCTGCGGGAGGTGGGGGTGTCTGTAAGGTCAGTGGACATAGCTCGGACACCTATGTGCAACAGCTCTGACATGGCTAGACGGAGCTGGGAGGAAGTAGGGGCAAGGCAAACGGGTCTTCCCCTGTACCTCCACATTCCAGCCTGGAGCTCCAAGAGCTGAGAATTCCAACCTTGAACTTTATCATAGAACTATTACAAAGATCTCTTTATCAAAGTAAGAAGACAGAACATGTTTTATTTAACAGTTGTTGATTTGTTACCTTTAAATGTGTCAAAGTGGGAGCGGCCCTGTCTCCTGACTAAAGTTTCACGTTCTCCTGCATCCCGATGCCTACTGTGTTGTTAGGGCACCCTTAGGGTGTTGGGGAAGGGGGACAAATCTAGCTTCCCTAAGCATGGACCAAGGTTTTCTTGGGGCTCTGGTGCATGACACCAGTAGCAACAGCCTGTAGCTGAGCTCTGTGTATCAAGGAAACTATTCTGTGGATTGGCACTTCTTGCATATATATCAGGGTGTGGCCAGAATTCACAGTTTGAGGAATCCTGTCCTCAACAAACTAGGTGTCAGGGGAGTCTCTCTCCTTCCTGAAGCCCCTCTTTGACCACACTCCCTCTACCTCTCCCCAGATCCCCAGCAGGTCTTGGCCACTTCACCCCTCACTGAACTCCTCCTCTAGGCTTTCCAGCCCTTTACCTGGGGTCCTCCTCACCTGCTAGGGGCTGCTCCAGCACATCCCACTCTAAACCTAATGACCCCTGGGCTTCCCTTCCTGGGTACTTGGCATTTGCACAGAGGCTTCCAGAGCCCTTCTGTACCCAGAAGAGTTTCTCTCTAACAGTGGGATGGGAGGCAGTGTGGTTAGGCCAGAGGTGATGGGACTAATGCTTTTCTTACTAAATTCATTCAAAGGTCACTGCTCAGATTTTCTTTCATGGTCGACAGTTCTTTTTCTCATGTGGTTGTGTGAGTGTGTCAACACGCAAAAGTGTGTGTCCTTTTGCATAAGTATGCACAGGTGTGCATTTGTGTGCATGCATATGGTTTTTGGAGACTCCCAGGCACTGGGCACTGAGCCCCTCGTGAGGCATGCCCTGCCTGTGTTTTTCCAGGTCTGCCCTCACCAGCCCAGCACCCATGCAGCCAGGGCATTCCAGACCCAAGATAAGATTCTAGCCTTTCAGTTCTGAAACTCTCAGACCCTGTGTGAGGCTGGTTGCAGCTGGCACTGCCACACATGGAGATGGAGCAGGACCACATGGGTATGGTAGTTACAAGCCTTGCAGAGCAGTAATTTTTAGGGGGTCTGCAACCAGCCTCGGTTTCCAGAGAACCACTGCAGAGCTGTTTATAAAAGAGGCAACCTCAGTTGACTTCACTCATCCCTGGAGCCCCTTCCTGACTCTTCAGCTTGAAGAATTTACTTCTACAAGAGGAGAAGGAAACTCTCCCAGGTTTCCTTCTGCAAGAGGCCTTGGGCAAGCTAGCTGTCCTCTTTTAGAATAAGGTACTGGCCACGAGTAGCTGGCTGTTTTTCATTCCTACTAAGCCATTTCACCACTCTTTGGTCTTCTTAATCTGTTTCCACCTGAATGAAGCTTTGGTTGGCCCATATCAAATGCACGCACAGAGAAGAGCCGCAGGTGCATGCAGACCCATCATCTCCCCTCCTTTTCTCATGTTGTTGTGCCTCCCAGCCAGCAGAGGAAGAATGACTCCAAACTGGGCAGTTTACCTATGTGTTGGCAGTGCCACCCAGAGGTTTAGAGTTGAGGAAACTGGCCAAAGTGAGATGACTGGTTAACTGGCTGATGTTGCTTTTCCCCTTCCTTGGCCATGCAGCAGAGTATGGAGTTGCTGGGGGCAACCCACAGTGGCGAGGTCTGAGCAGTGACTCCTGGCTTTTTCCTTCCCCATGTTCCCTTGGGCCACCGACTTCCATCTTCAGGCCTATCAAAGAGTTTTTGTTTATTTGTTTTGTATTCATATATATATATATATATATATATATATATTTTGAGTCAGCATCTCACTCTGCCACCCAGGCTGCAGGGCAGTGGCATGATCATAGCTCACTGCAGCCTCAAACTCTGTTGCCCAGGCTGTTCTTGAGTTCCTGGGCTCAAGCAATCCTCCTGCCTCGGCCTCCCTAAGTGCTGGGATTACAGGCATGAGCCACTGTGCCTGGCCCTATTAAACAGTTTAATACACCTATCTAACTGCCCCTTGCCCTGGCTCTAGATCCTCAAGGGGAGTAACAGTTGGCCACAAGGCAGAGTAGGGCTGAGACATATCCAGGTTTGAAACCGAGCTTCATACTTGCTAGCTGGACAAGCAACTTAACCTTTCTAAGCACCAGTGTCCTCATCTGTAAAAGAGATTGTGGTAATTCTCTCTCAGGGGTGGTTTTAAGTAAATAATTATGTAAAAACTTGTGTGCAGCTTGGCATATAACAGGTGCTCAACAAACAGTACTTGTTACTTTTGCCAACCCCACTAACTACCTCCATCTACATCAGCACACCAGCACCACCATTACTGTCAGCAATGTGCATAGAGACCTGGGTCAGGTAGCAAACCAGCCCTCTCTATGTGGGAGAGGGAGAAAGGCAGAGAATGAAAGGAAGAAATGAGGAAGGAGAAAAATGGCCCATGGCCACTCCAGAGACTTCCAACCTGGAGCAGTGGCTGTAGCATTGGGCCAGCCTATGACCAATAGACCAGATGGCTTAGCTGGTCCCAGATCCCCCATTTCAGAACAACCTACCCTCTGATCCTATTCAGACTCATGTCCTTCATTTAGGTTGGAATGTTCTGGAATCTTTGGGGCATGTTGGAAACAGCTCTGGAGTTCTTGAGCCAGGCAGACCTGGACCCAAATCCCAGATCCACAACTTACCAGCAGGTTAAGGTCGGTCAGGTCACTTAATTTCTCCAACCCTCAGTTTCCTCATCTGAAAAATGGGTATAGCAGTTGCTATGTCAGAGGGTTTCTGGGTAGTGTAAGTGGGATCACAGATAGCCAGTGCCCAGGTCCTGCCTGATACACAGAAGATGCTCATTTCCCAGTAGTTTTACATTTTTCCCCTTTCCACCCTGCCCCCCACCACTGATCCATCTTCCACTCACAAGGAACTGGGTCTCTCAGCACTGGGGCCAACGCTTCGTGCTTCCTACTTAGGAGAGGTGCCCTGAGAAACAAGTGGAGACTGATAGTCTGAGTAGCTGAGTGAGTTTGACCCTAGGTATCATGTGACTTTGCCACAGTTCTTTGCTATCTTGAAGCCTTAGTTTCCACATCTGTAAAATGGAAATAATAATGATCTTTGATCTTTGTGGTGAGGATTGAATGAAAGTGCTTGGAGCTCAGAAGGGGATGAGCAAGTGTGAGCTCCTGGTATCTATTGTTAATATTGCTAATGTTACCATTGTTAAAGTATTTCCTGTTTTCTTGATGTGGGTAGGTCAGAGAGTATTTGGTTTCCAGGGTTACAACACCTTAGCTAAAGGCCAGTGGTAACAGGAGTTTAAATCTGGCCTGGCCACCTCCAGCTGTGTGTGGAAAGGAGCTGGTGTTTTGCTTTGGGCACACTTGCAAGCTGGGGCTCATATGACATGTGTCCCAGTGAGTCACCTTGCAGAGTCAGAGCACACCCCGGGCTGCCAGGGTGTACTGAGAATTGTCTCCGCAACTCAGATTCATCTAAGTCCATAGGAGATGCTCATATCCCAGTAGTTTTACCTTTTCCCCCTTTCTGCCCTGCCCCCCACCACTGCAAGGGAATTCTCCCAGGAATTAATCGCTGCCTGGTGCCCAGGGACCCCATCAAGTTTCTGTGATGTTCTGGGTGGATAACTTCCCTGGTCAGGGACTTGAACCTCTGCCCCTTTGCTTCAGCCGCCTATAACAGTGGGGACCTAGTGGGTTGGAAGGCCGGAATGTGAATCCTGCTTCCATTACCTACCAGCAGCACCAACAGGAGCCATTAGACTCCCTTCTCTGCCCCTCAGCTTGCCCTGGGGGTACGTAATGACCCTGACTGGTTATTATGTTTGCAGGCTGTTGTGAAACTCTAAGAAGAATCCGGTGAGATCATGTTTGGGAAAGCCACATGCAACCCTAAGTGATATGGATACCAGCAAAATTAGAAACTCCGTCATGTAAATTTAGGCACTGTCTCTTTTCCTCTGGTCTCAATTTTCTTGCCTGTAAAAGGAAGGGTTTGGGTTAGATTGACATTCCCAGAGTGATGATTCATGAAAGAAAATGTTCAGTGTTTAAATAAATCTGGTAAAGGCTACACCTGTGATCCCCCTCCTGACACATCACAGCATGCACTTGTGTATCAAAGGCTAGGAGAAGCCTGCAAGAAGCAAATCTATTTTGCTTTGCTTAACCTAGATTTTACTAATTTGACCATAGAATCTCACTATTATGGTTGTGATTATTACTACCACAAATACTATTACTGTTATGATGATTAGTATTGATTGCTGTGCGTCATCTTTGGAAACAGCCAGCTGAGCAGATGCCCAGGATCTTTGCAGCTCTTGCAGACATGGATCCAAGACCAGGGTGGAGGGGGCAGGGGTCTGTCAGGTCACACTCTGCCCCTGTGTCCTCCAGGTGCCTTCCTGATCCCATACACACTGTTCCTTATCATCGCGGGGATGCCCCTGTTCTACATGGAGCTGGCTCTGGGACAGTACAACCGGGAGGGGGCTGCCACCGTGTGGAAAATCTGCCCATTCTTCAAAGGTAAAGAAGGGGTGGGAGGAAGTTTCATGGTTGTTCATAAAGGCTTCCCTGTTGCCCCTGGGGAATCTGCTCCCGTGGTGAGATCTAAGGTAGACCTCCTGTCATGTGGGGTTCACAGGTATTGACAAGGTCAAGACTGTCCACCATTCCAAGTTACATGGAGAGCATTCACTGTGTTGGGAATAGCATTAGCATAGAAATTCTGGAAACCTGGGTTCTAATCCAGCTCTACCTGCTGAGTGACCAGAGAGTCTATTTCCTGCATGGGAAATTTTTACATAAGTATCAGAAGTACCGAGCACATATACCACTAGTCTCTCCTTTTGCTCCCATGGCAGTCCTTAGAAGTTGATCATGGATCTTTTTGAGCCCAGCCTGAAAGCTGATTCGTACAATAGCCACAACTAGTTGATTGCAGCTGAAATACAACATGAAGCCTACTTGCATTTGGGACTAAGAACACATCTGCAGAAAGTAGCCAGAGCAACTGCTATTTCTTGGCCCCTATACAGCTGGGAGAAGGGCATGGAGGAAGAGTTAGTCTCTCCCAAGCACTGGTTGGAGAACTGGGCACAGGTGGCAACGAGGGCCAGTGTGACTCCCATGAGCCTCTTCTCAGCTGGCATGTGTCTCCTGAGTACCTCCTCTGTACTCAGTCCTGTGGGAGATACAGCTGGTGCAAGAGCCTTATAAGACATGTGCATTCGTTACTTTTCTTGTTGTTAATTGTCAGAAATTCAACTCAAACTGGCTTCAATATAAAAGAGAGTTGACTTCTGTTACAGTAAAGTCCGGGGATTGGCTTCAGGTATAGATAGATCCAGATGCCCAAATAACGATGTCTGGAATCTATCGCTCTTTTAGTGTTTCAGATCTGTTTTATTCTGTTAGAATCAGTCTCAGGTAAATTCTTCTCAAGTACCTGCAAAGATGGCCATCAGCAACTCCAGTGTTAAATTTTACCAAGTTTAAATTTTACCAAAAGCAAACAAATAAACAAACAAAAACCCCTATAGAGTCATAGCTTTCTTAAAGGTTCCAGGGAAGATTCTCATTGGTTTAACTTGAGTCATATGCCCATCTACTAACCAATCACTGTGACTGTGAGAAAGCAGTGCTCTGATTGGCCGGGCATACATCTCCTGATGGAGGAAGAGAGGGGAATAGCCTCACCCACACCTCACAGGCTAATCATAACTTAAGGCTAATTCCTTAAAAAGCAATGTTGGGTAGGTAAACAATATATCTATCCTAGAAAAAAGCTATAGAACTACCCCTAAAGGAGCTTATGATACATTGAGGCACACGATACTGGCACCTGAAGCAGGTGGTTGAGAATAGGACCCAGAAAGCACACAGGGCTGAAATTCCAATCAGGGAGTGCTTGGTTGGGTTTCCCCAGAAGCAGTTCGGAGACAAGGATTTAAGTGTAAGTAGTTAGTGTGGGAGGTGATCCTTAGAGAGCAGCAGCTGGGGGTAGGGAAGGGGAGACAGCCATAAAGGGCGTGCACCAAATCAGTGCCTCCCTGGGCAGGGAGCTCGGTCCCATCAGGGGAGAATGTGAACACCCGTCAGTGTTATCCTCCCCATGGGGCGAGGGAGCTGGATACTCACAATCCAGCTCCTAACATGTCTGCCCACTGGGAGCAAGAAGGTGGTTGAGTGGGCAGGGGAGCTCCAGTGGAAAGAGAGAGTTATCAGGCAAAGAGATGGCAGGCGCCTATGGACTCTGGCAATCTGCTATAGCACGTTTCCCCGATCCCCGGGCCGCGGAACAGTAACTGTGCAGTCGGCGGCCTGTTAGAATCTGGGCCACACAGCGGGAGGTGAGCAGCGGGTAAGTGAAGCTTCATCTGTATTTACAGCTGCTCCCCATGTCTCGCATGACCACCTGAGCTCCGCCTCCTGTCAGATCAGCCGCGGCACTAGATTCTCATAGGAGCGCAACCCCTACTGTGAACTGCGCATGCGAGGGATCTAGGTTGTGTGCTCCTTATGAGAATCTAACTAACGCGTGATGACCTGAGGTGGAACGGTTTCATCTCGAAACTATCCCCACCCCCAAATCTGTGGAAACATTGTCTTCCATGCAACTGGTCCCTGGTGCTGAAAAAGTTGGGGACCGCTGTGCTACAGGAAACGAGAGGCGAAGGGAATGGGAGTGCAGTGGTGGAGCCACACCCAAGGAGAGGTGGCTGTGGGGCTGGTCCTGGGAGACCCCTGCCTTACTCCCTGTTCCCGCCCAGGCGTTGGCTATGCTGTCATCCTGATCGCCCTGTACGTTGGCTTCTACTACAACGTCATCATCGCCTGGTCACTCTACTACCTCTTCTCCTCCTTCACCCTCCACCTGCCCTGGACCGACTGTGGCCACACCTGGAACAGCCCCAACTGTACCGACCCCAAGCTCCTCAATGGCTCCGTGCTTGGCAACCACACCAAGTACTCCAAGTACAAGTTCACACCGGCAGCTGAGTTTTATGAGTAAGTCACAGACCCCTTGTGCTGGGCCTGTTGAGGCCAGTGCTTGATATAACCTGAGCCAAATACCAAGGAAAGCCACAGACCAATGAGACACATGCCGTCAGGATATTAATGTTTACTGAGCGGCCACTGGCCTGATGCTGGGCGAGGGGCTGAGGACACAGCTATGGTCGAGGTAGTTGGAGGAGCTTGCATTCTGGGGGAGGGAAGTAGAGGAGGGAAGATAATACACAAGTAAACGGGTAAGGGAGTAAGGATGTTTTAGAGTGTGTGTGCACTTCAGGGAATGCAACTTTCTGGGGTGTGTAACTGCTCTTAAGGAACTGAAACCAGGTATGTGGGAAAAATCAATCCTGGAGGGAAAAGAACGGTTGCGTGGGTAGTCAGGGAAGACCCCTCTGAGGAGGTGACACGGGAACTGATGATGTCAGAGAAGGGAAGAGCTGGGGCTTAAGGGCAGGCGATGAGCTGCAGGTTGAACCCAAGTTGATCTGACCCTGAAGCTGTAGTCTGACTCACCCTGGGCTGCTGTCCCTCTGGAGTTCCCATAGGGGAACATAATCAGAGCTTGGAGAAAATTCAAGAAGTGGGAAGCAGGCCAGCTGTTAGCAACTCTGGGAAATTATCTGGACCATGTGTGCATGAGAAGCACTGGCCGTTGGTGCAAGACAGAGTATCATTTAAAAAAAGAAACTTTTATGTTGAAATACTGATATACAAAACAAGTAGTAAAAATAGTGCATATACCCATCACCCAGTTTCCCCTAGTGTTGACGTCTTGCGTAACCATGGTATGAGTTTGAAACCAGGAAATTAATATTGATACACTGTTAGCTAACAAGCTGCAGACCTTATTTGAATTTCACCAATTTTCCCACTCATATTCTTTTCTGGTATTTAATTGCCACGTTTCTTTAATCTTCTCCAATCTTTGCTCTTCGTTGATTTTCATGACCTTGACACTTGAAAAGTACTGGCCAGGTATTTTGTGAAATATTGATTTGAGTTTGTTTGTTGTTTTCTCATAATTAAACTGAGGTTATGCATTTTGGCAAGATTATCCTAGAAATGATGCCGTGCCCTCCTCAGTGCATTCCATCAGGGGTGGGGAGACATGCTATCAATGTCTTGTTGCTTGTGATGTTAACCTTGCACACTTGATTAAGGTGGAGATTGCCAGCTTCCTCCTGTGTAGAGAAAGTTATTTTCTTTTTTTAAGTAATAAGTGTCTTTTAGGGACATACACTGAGTTTATACAAATATCTTGATTCTCATATTTTTGTCCACATTTCTTAGCATTCATTGACGATTCTTGCAAGTAAGGACTATTACCATAATGTTTGTCTAGTTATAATTTCCATCATTCCTTCTATTTTATTTTATTTTCTTACTTTTTGAGACAGAGTCTTGCTCTGTCACCCAGGCTAGAGTACAGTGGCACCATCTCGGCTCACTGCAACCTCCACTTCCCACATTTAAGTGATTCTCCTGCCTCAGCCTCCTGAGTAGCTGGGATTACAAGTGTGCACCACCACGCCTGGCTAATTTTTGTATTTTTAATAGAGATGGGGTTTCAACATATTGGCCAGGCTGGTCTCGAACTCCTCACCTCAGGTTATCCACCCATTTTGGCCTCCCAAAGTGCTGAGATTACAGCCGTGAGCCACCACAGACAGCCTATCATTCCTTCTAGATTAGTTGATTGGAATTCTTCTTTAAGGAAGAATTGTCCCTTCTCCCCTATTTATTTATTTATTCAGTTATTCATTTATATCAGTATGGGCTCCTGGATATTTATTTTATTCTGTGGTCTTAATCCATACCTATTATTGTTGTTGTTATTATTTTATTTCAACTTTCATTTTAGATTCAGGGGTACACAAGCAGGTTGTTACATGGGTACATTGCATGATGCTGAGGTTTGGGATGTGATTGAACCTGCCACCCAGGTAATGAGTATAGTACCCAATAGGTAGTTTTTCAACTCTTGTCCCCCTCCCTCCCTCCCTCCTCACTCTTGTTGCCCTCAGTGTCTCCTGTTCCTGTCTTTATGTCCATGTGTACTCAGTATTTAGCTCCCACTTATAAGTAAGAACATGCAGTATTTGGTTTTCTGTTCCTGGATTAATTTACTTAGAATAATGGCCTCCAGCCACATCCATGTCCCTGCAAAGGACATGATTTTGTCCTTTTTGTGGCTGCATAGTATTCCGTGGTATATATGTACCACATTTTCTTTTTCTTTCTTTTTTTTTTCTTTTTAAGACCGAGTCTCTCTCTGTTACTCAGGCTGGAGTGCAGTGGTATGATCTTGGCTCACTGCAACCTCTGCATCCTGGGTTCAAGTGATTCTCCTGCCTCAGCCTCCCAAGTAGCTGGGATTACAGGCACCCACCACCACACCCGGCTAATTTTTGAATTTTTAGTAGAGACAGAGTTTCACCATGTTGGCTAGGCTGGTCTCAAACTCCTGACCTCAGGTGATCCACCCGTCTCAGCCTCCCAAAGTGCTGGGATTACAGGCATGAGCCATCGCACCTGGCCACCACATTTTCTTTATTCAATCCATCATTGATGGGCACCTAGGTTGATGACATGTCTTTGCTATTTTGAGTAGTGCTGCAGTGAACATCCACACGCAGGTGTCTTTTTGGTAGAATGATTCATCTTCCTTTGGGTAGATGCCCAGTAGTGGGATTGCTGGGTCGAATGGTAGTTCTATTTTTAGTTCTTAGAGAAATCTCCAAACTGCTTTCCACACTGGCTTAACTAATTTACATTCCCACCAACAGTGTATAAGCTTTCCCTTTACTCTGCAGCCTTACCAGCATCTGTTATTTTTTGATTTTTTAATAGCCATTCTGTTGGGCGTGAGCTCATAACCATCATTATTTAATTTGTGGCTTCCCTGAATCCTCTCAGCCTCTACTTCATCCATTTATGTCCTTGAGGAGGGTGATGACTGACTTGTTTTCAGCCACCTGATTTAAAATGTTTACATAGTGCTCTGTGCACAATGTAGCATCCATTGTCTTCATCCCTCAGGCATGGGTCAATTCCATTTCATCAATCCCTACACAAACATGCTAGCAGGTAAGCAGAAAGTACGTGTTACAAGCTGTGGGGCAGACAGGATAGATACCACCTGAACTCCACCCTCAGGGCACTCACGGTCTAGAGCAGAGGTCCCCAAACTTTTCTGCTGAAGATCATAGAGTAAATATTGCAGAATTTGCGGGCTACATATGTTCCGGTTGCATGTTCCTTGTTTTATTTTACCTCTAAAAAATAAAACTATTCTTAGCTCACAGGTCATAGCTAACCAGTCCACAGCTCAGATTTGGCCTGGGGGCCATGGTGTGCTGAGTCCTGGCCTAGTGCAAGATTTCCCAATAAAACTTCCCGCCATGATAGAAATGGTCTATATCTGTGCAATCCACCACAGTACCCACTTGCCACAGGCAGTTACCAAACAGTTGAAATGTGGCTAGTGTGACTGATGAGCTGTATTTCTAATTTAATTTTAGTTTATTTACCTTTAAATAGACATATGTGGCCAGTGCAAAAAAAGTGTGGGGAAAAAAAAAACCATATTCACAAGCAACAAAACTTTAGTGCTCCTCTCCTTCAGTCCTATGGATTCCCCAAGCCCAGAACCTGGGAAAGAGTCCTGATTATCTGGAGATGGGGGTTATCCTGAGACCATCTCTTTCCCTGCCATCTTGGTGCAGCAGGCCCAAGGGGATTTAGTTTGGTCGAAAGTGACCTCTGGAAAGTCAACTGCCTCCTGGGGCTCAGGGAGTCAGTGTTCTCAGGATCCAGGAAATACCCTCAATGGTTCACTGCAGAGAATTTGCTAAGGGTCCTGGACCTGCACCCACCTGTCTCATGGACTTCTAACATGCATGTGTAAAAAATGTGTGTTTTAGAATTTTTCTTGGAGAGGGTCTATAGTTGTCATCAAATTCTCAAATACCTCTCCAGCCCTCCCGGAGGATCTGAACCACTGCTGTTGCTGAACGCAAGCATCTGCTGTAAGAAACCTGTCTTCCTCACCATCACATTAATAACTAACCTCTTACCATGTGTATGAGGTTTTCTGCTAACTTCCTCGTATGTATTATTTTGATTTAAGCCTCACACTTACCCAATGAGGTTTCTGTAACTCTTATCCTCATCACACTCTTGGGGAGGCTTCATTTCACAGTTGAGACAGCAAAGTTCACAACCACACAACTATTACTGCACAGAGCCAAGATTTGGACCCAGCCAGCATGCATTTGCAAGACCCTGAGAATGGGCATCTCCTTCCATTTTGCACTGTAGGAGCTTACTTCTCCTCACTCTAACCCCAGCCCTGCCTGGCAGGGGAACGGCATACACCCTTAACCTCTGTGTTATATTGGCCTCTATCCATTACACGTGTTTGTTATTATGCAGAAATATTGTCATGGTCACACATCATATTTACCCAGTTTAGATTGCATCCCAGCCATAGTGCAAAGCACCCTTTCTATACTATATTTTAATCCTGACCACGGTGGTCTAAAATTATTTTTTTGAATGAGAAAACAGGCACAAATCAGTAAGTGACTTGTCCGAGGTCACAGAGTTTAGAAGTGGCATTAAAAGTTGGTTTGGACCTAGGTAGTCTATCTCCAAAGCCCAAGATCTTAGCCCAGCGTTCTAAACCTTGCCTGCACATCAGAATCACCTGGAGAGCATGGAGGCCTGGATTCTACATCCAAAGATTCTGATTTCATTGGTCCGGGTACAACCAGGGCACAGAAATTTCCATCAATAGCCCCTCCTGCAATTCTAACATCCAGCCAATGTTGGAAGCCCCTGTTTACTCACTGCACTCTCCTGTCTTGGAGTAAGACTCCTGCTGGAGTCAGGCTGACATCTCTTTAGTCCCATGTCATGGAAAATCTAGGGCCTCCTTCAATCTTCTGAGGAGGAGCATGGTCTCAGAAAATTCCAGAACCATCAGAGAGCTT